GTGCGGCTTGTGCGTTGTGTGTTTGGTTGAGTGCATACGGTTGGCAACGCAACTAACTTCCATACCACCAATAAAAATATGAAAGCAACTGGCATCCCGCGTGAACCGCGACCATCCAATCATATGTAAAGGAGTGGCGCTCCGCTGACTCCGTCCCCACGTGTAAAAGGTACGCACATGCACCTCATTCCGGCAGCTGAAAAGAAAGGAGTTCAATCTTGGATTTGGGGGTTGGAGAGATCGCACCGGGTGCGATCTCACCAACCCCGGTGCGTAATAAATCGAATTAAGTAATATTCTCGGGTTTTTTATCGCACCCCGGTGCCATCTCTCCGACCGGTGCCATCTCTCCGGCCCGTGCCATCTCTCCGACTCTTACGGTATGTTGAGTACAAACAAGGTAGCAATGACACAACAAGATAGCACACCCCCTGGACCGTTTTTGAAAGCTCGATTACTCCACGACGAAGAGGATGCATATAGACGAAAGGGTACGCTTTCAGAGAGCTCTCAATCAGACGGCTCCAACGCCGCCGTTTCCGGCCCTGCGACTGTTGCTGCTTTTGAATAATCGAGCTTTGAAAATCGGTCCAGGGTGTGTGTTATCTTGTGTCCTATTGCGAAGGTGTACCGATTCTGGTAAAAGTCAATCGACGGATACCCTGCGAATCGGTTCCTCCTTAACACTCTCCACCCACAGAATTTCCCCTCAACTGGGAACCTCTTGTGGCCAGGACGGGTAATTCGATGTAAGTGTCACAAGGTTCTTTATAGGATCGATTCCAAGAGGTGTTCTCAGGACTGACACACATTGTGTCCATGGGAAAATGTCCAAATCAGGAGAAAAAACGTGCACCCAAGGAGATTCGAACCGTATCCAGCTGACGCCATATATATGCGAAGGTGTACCGATTCTGGTAAAAGTCAATCGACGGATATCCTGCGAATCGGTTCCTCCTTAACACTATACGGTTGTTGTTGTTGTTGTTGTCTTCACATTACATTAAAAACCGTTCCGATCTCTCTCTACCCAGAACCTTCATATGTATGTCCGTACTGATCCAACACTTGACGCCGTCGATTCCCGTGGTCACAGGCTAACTTACCTTAAAAAGGTATACATACGCTCAAACAAACTGGCCCCGAGGGGTCCGCAAGTCAATAATAGAAATCAACGACAGATATTCTGGAGTCCGCTCCCTCTGCGCGCTATGCGAGGTAACAACTGAGACTAGGAGTTGAGTCTGCATTACGGGCTAGAGAGAAAGAGGTACTACACCCCCTTGGTTCAATCTTGGTGCTTCACACGCAAGCAGAGACAAGGCCATCTGATACAGAAAAAGAGAGAAAAAAAGAGCGACAAAGAGAAAAAAGAGAAAAAGAGGAAAAAATAAAAGGAAACAGGAAGAAAAAAGAAAAGAAAACGAAAAAGAAAACGAAAAAGAAAAAAAAAAACGAGGACAAAAAGAGACCAGGCCGAAAATAACAAGAAAAAAGAGACAGGATAAGGCACACAGTGGAGAGACCACAAACGAACGAACAAGCAAACACGCAAACATGGCCGGCCACCAACCAGCGATAAATAAATGGTAAAATGGTGCGTCATCATCACTAGTAGTGGGGGGTTGGTGCAATGAATGGTGCATGCACCGTTGGGGGGGGGGGGGGGGGGGG